AGGGGAGGGGGTCCAACACTGTGGGAATTCCAGGGAGCATCCCCTGCCTCATCCATCCCCTTTTTCCTGGGAATCTCTGGCTCAGAAAATCAGGATTCTCCAGGGAATCTCCCTCAGGAATTTCCTGGAAAACAGCCCCAAACCAGAACTCCCTCGAGGAAATTACTTAATTGGGATTTAATTGGGAGTTTTAATCAGTTTTAATGGTTTTAAAGGGATTGCCCGATGTTCTGGAATTTGAGATCTGGTGGGTTTGGAATGGGAAAAAAACACTTTTTCCCCTCTCCTTTTTAAAGGCAAATTTGGTGCCAGAGGCGCTGGAATTTCTGAGGAGCCTTGGGGTTGTTTTGCCTCATTAGGGAGGTGTTAATTGGGGCTTTCCCGAGGTGCAGCATTCCCAGAAATCAGTTTGGTGCTGCCAAAATTCCCTTCCTCAATCAGGGGGAATCCAAGGAAAAATCCTAAATTTGAGTAAAAATCCCCGTTTTTTTCTGCTCTCAGACGCAGCCATTGGGAACACAAACTCCCCATCCCAAATCAGGAAGCAAAATCCCAAATTTCAGTGATAAATCCCTGTTTTTTTTCCCTTCCCAGCCATGGATCCGGGCGCTTCCAGCACCTCCCTTCCCGATGGCGTCGGAGATTCCGAGCGGAACATCCCAAGAATTTGTGGGGTCTGCGGGGACAGAGCCACCGGTTTCCACTTCAACGCCATGACCTGCGAGGGCTGCAAGGGCTTCTTCCGGTCAGTYGGGATTTTTGGGAATATCCCCAATCCCAAAAACACTTCAGCAATGTCAGGTGGGATCCCAAAACTGCCCTGAAATTCCCGGCAGCGCCGCATTCCCTCTCTGCTGGATCGTGGTTCAAGGGGGAAGATTGGGAATTATTTGGGGTTTTGGCACTTTGGGATGTTTTTTTTCCCGTTTTTCCATGTTTTTTTTTCATGGAGCTGGGAGCCTTGCAGAGCTCCAGGAAAAGGGGGCAACATGGGAAAACGCACCAGGAGAATTGAGGCCACCAAAGTGGGAATTTCCTGAGCCAAAATCTCCTGAAAAACTCCGGAATTGGGAAATGTGGAGCTTCGGGAGCTCCTCTGGTGCAGCTCTTCCCAAAATCAGGCGTTTTCAAGGAATTCTCTGCCCATTCCCCACTTTCCCCTGGATCCCTCCCAAACCCAATGCCCTCATCCCAGCTTGGGAAAACAGCAGGAATCCGCTATTTTTATCCCTTGGGATCTCAAATCTTCCCTGGATTGGGCGCCTTGGGAAGGTTTTCATGGAATTCCAGCCCAGCCCCGGCTCCGCTGTCGCCCTGGGAGCCTCTGGAGTCGCCCAAAGCTGCAATTTTCATTGCAAACCCAGAATTTTGGCCTGCCCTGAGTCCCGGGAATGCTTTTCCCTGCTCCAAGACCTCGTTGTTTGCGCATTCCCAGCTTTTCCCTGTTTTTCTTTTATAAAAAAGGAGCTTTTTCTGCACAAAAAAATGGAAATTTTTGGGTATTCAGGGTTAAATTCTGATTCCTGAATGTTTATGCCCACTTGGGACAGTAAAAATACCAAAGATTTTGGAGAAACAGGGAAAAACAGGASCCTTCCATCTGTTTTTCTGGGATGAATTCCCAAAAATCCCAAATTCCTGGCAGGTAAAGGCACTCCCTTCCTAAAAAACAGCTTTTAGCTACTGGCTCAGTGGTCTGAGCAAATATGGGATATTTTTAYCCAGATTTGATTTCTTTTACCCATATTT